TTTTTGTTATTCGCCTGATAATTACGTAAATGGTCATAACATTGTTTCCACTACTAACTTTAAGTTTTTAATGATTTGTATTGACTTTTTTGTAACTGACACATACCACTTTTTTTTACCGTAATGAAATAAATCAGATCCTTTTTTTAATTGAAATTACATTTTATTCCTCAAGCTAAATTTTAACGTTTGAATAATCAAGTATTTCATACTTAGGTTTCTCTATTGTCATTCCTCCTTTTAAAATTTTCTTGACTGTCGATATGTATATTATTTACCTTAATTTAGATCTGTAAGAAAGGGAGATGATAAGCATTAAAACTATTAAGAATAACTTGTTGCAATTAAAATTTGGATTATCTTGTTCAAAATGATAACATACTAGTTTAAATGTAATGACGGTATTGTTTCTTTGATCATTTTTTATTGCATTCTAACTCCATATATATATTCATATTAAGACCATTACACATACTTTGAAAACCTGCTAAACATGCTTTTAGCAAAAGTAGTTGAAATATAGAAGTAGAGACTTCTTTTATTCAATTTGAAACCTATGACTTACTTTAGAATTTAATTGAAATAAAATAAGCAATAATTAAATAACCTTGGTAGGACAAAGGAATAGCTATAAAGAATGTTCTTTTATTTTTAAGAGTTTCAAAGAAAGAAAATTCAAATGGCGTTTTTTCTACTAAGGGACTTATACATGGTAAAATATTTCCTTTGTATGATCTTTGATATTTCAAAAGATATCACCAGATAATAGTAATGTGCATTACGAACACATTAGTTTATAATGAGTTACAAATATATCAATATATAATGAAATACATTTAATACTTTTCTCATGTTTGGATCATTTGTTATGATGAACCTTAACAATTCCTACTAAAAACATTTCATAAGAACAACATCTCAATGCTAGCTTTGTTCTTTTTTCTTACATTTAGAAGCTAGGTTTGACGCGGAAATATGAATGAAATATATAAATATATATTTGTCACGTAAATTACCAAGAATAAACATTACAACTTGAGTGTTTGACAAAAAAAAAGATAAATTATTGACCCTTTCCTTTTGCTTGCCATTGTACAAACCCTAAATGATATAGTGAAACAAAAATTCACAAATGTAACCCAGCTAAATGTATAATGACAGCCGAAATTATTCTTTGAATAATCTTTTTACTGAGTTAAATTTGCATATAAAACAAAATCTTGCGCTTATAGCCGATACTCCGATTGATCTTCAGAGACGTTTAAATTGCTTAGAAATATATTGTGATAAGTGGAATATGACTGTGAATATGGACAAATCTAATATTGTTGTATTTAAAAATGGTGGAAAATTATCTTCTAATGAGAAATGGTATTTTAAAGGAGAAGTTTTGAAAGTGGTCAGCTACTATAAATATTTGGGAGTTTATTTTTCCAACAGACTTAAATGGACTTATTGCTGCAAAACATTAAGTATGCAATGTGATAAAGCCCTTAATATGATAAAACATTGTATATGTAAACTTGGAACTAGAGACATAAGTCTTGGATTTAAATTATTTGACTCCATGGTAGCTCCAATACTTTATTATGGTGCGGAAATATGGGGTACAGATAAAGTGAAAGACATTGAAACTGTTCAAAATAAATTTTGTAAATGGCTACTTGGAATGGGTCAAAAAACTAATCATCACATAGCAAGAGGTGAATGTGGTCGTTATGAACTCTACGTAAACTATATGTGCAAGCCTATTAAATATTTTCTAAGTCTACAAAACCTTGATGATAGCAGACTACCAAAACAATGCTACCGTATGATGTTCAAAATGAATGAAAATGGACAAATAAACTGGTGTACGAAAATTCAAAAACTATTATTTTCATATGGATTTGGATATGTATGGGAAAACCAAAGTGTTGGAGATATAAAACTGTTTATGTTGTTATTTAAACAAAGACTAAAAGATGTGAACTTACAAACTTGGTCAGATTATATTGGTAATTCTTCCAAATGTTCTTTTTATTCGAAAATTAAAGATGTTATTATTATTAATGAAAATATTCAAAAGCTGTCATTTAAGCTCAAACATGAAATTTTTTCCATTATATGTTCTAATCATAGCCTTGCTATAGAACAAGGTAGACATGAAAATCAACCTAGGGAAAATAGATTATGTAGAATTTGTAATACAAATGAAATTGAAGATGAATACCACTTTATACTTGTTTGTCCGATTTTGTGTGATATAAGGAGAAATTTTTTACCCATATGGTGTCATAATAATCCTAACAAAGAAAAACTGATTAATCTGTTTAAAACTGATGATTTTTGTATTTTAAAAAATCTGGCAATATATATTATGAAAGCTAAAGTATTTCGAGATGAAGTTTTGACATTTTGAATGTATAGTAAAATATAAGTGGAAATGAACACTACTGATGACTGATTTATAAATATGATGATATGTGAATATGTAATGTGATTATTGTTTATTGTGTAATATGTAACTGTAGATGGCAAAATTATAAATTGTGTAATATAATATTTGTACCGTGGGCTGGAGGCCTTTTTTGTACAATAAACTTGATTTGATTTGATTTGATTAAAACAAAATTTTAAATACTGTTATACAAAAACAAAACATTTTGAAGAATGGCAATTTGATGATATTGAAATATATCATCAGCAAATCAACAGAGAAATCATTGGGCTTTAAAAGAAACAAAAGAGTGATTTTGTAATCAGTTGTGCATTTTAACATATGGCATAGTATATATCCACAATTCAATTTGTTTTTATTGATTTATCAAGTGTTTCACAAGGAAATGTTTGGTTTCGTTTTCTGAACATCAGCTATCCGCCTATAAACAACTTCCGGTTAAACATAGATGTCACTACGCCTAAAATAAAAACATGATGTTAGTTTATTTTGAATTAACGATAGAATTTAAAAAAAAAAATAAAAAAAGAAACGATAAAATTTACACAGCTATTTTTGTATGTATCTTGTCAATCGATAAACAGCTATAATGTTTTTATATTTGCGTAAATTTATCGAGCATGAAATAATAGTAGAGAAAAAATCAAACCAAAACAAAATGGAACATATGATACTCTCATAGTGATTACATGGTAATTCCAATTCCGATTGTTCATTAATCAAGACTAGAATGACTTGGATGGATAGTTGTCTCATTGGCACTCATACCACATCTTCTTATTTGTATAGAATGTCTATTGGTTTCAGCAATATCCATATTTACTTTGAAATGTGATAATTTCGCATAGAAAAATCTTTCTATAATTTCGGTTGAAAAATAGTGGCGAGTTCCATGATTTATCAAATGTTGGCCAGAAAAAATACATGTAATTTCATTTATCTATGACAAAGATTAATTGCATAGCTAGCATCCCACAAATATGATCATACGGTCATGTACAATTCTATCATAACTGTATTCTCAAAACTGACTTAATACTTTATTTTTGGGGGTTTTAAGAGGTGTTAAGATCAAAATGACCGTTTCTGATTAAAATTAGTTCACTAGTGCATTGTTTTTTTCAGAGTTGTGTATGAACAATTAGAACGTAGATTTTTACTGAGGGTATATTTCAATCAATAATTTGTTCTGTTTACCTTGTTTCAGCAGAAATATTGTGATGAATATTTTATAAAAACAAAAAAAAACTTTGGTACAATAGTTCGGTGTATATATGATTTGTTATGCTTTAAAAAAGTGTTCCCTTGTTTAAGCCATTTATCACTTGAGTTGTTACGATAAATCCAAACTCAAAAACGACTAAAGTTAATGGTCTTAAGAGAGGCCATATATCAACTCGAAAAAGAGTATTTTTTTTTACATTTTGACGCTTAATTTAGGAAGTTGCAGCACTTACAATCCGCATATTTATAACCAGAAACTTCAAGCAAGAATGAGTGAATATTTATCCATAATGACTTAGAATTGAGAAAAAATATTCTTGAAAATATTCTGTAAAAGGCTATAAGAATAGCTAAACCAATCAGATGATGAGTACTCTGAACGAAGGAAGGTCCGCTTGATAATTACACAAAGAAAAATGGAACCTTCATGAGAACTCAACCAATCAGATGGTATGAATTACACGTGGGGAAAATGCAATATTCACAGGATGTATGTTAAGTACAATTTAATGACTTCGTGTAAAAAGGGTGGCGGTAAATCAATTTTAACCATTTTAATGGAGGACAATAGTTAAATACTAGATATCAAAACATAGACAACCGGAAATAAAGGTTGTGTGGAAAGTATGCAATATGCAACGTTTTCACAGATAAGTAGAGCATTGAGTGTAAGCTCATATTCAAAACAGTAGTTTAAAGTGTGGGCGAAAATTCTTTTGTTCCTTAAAAAGACTATGCATGTCTCATTGCGTTTTTCTTATTTAGACTCAATTTGTGGTATAACTACCCTCAAAGGAAAGTTGACGTTTACGTGGTGTATTAAAATATGCATGTGTTAGGCTTCTCAAAAATAATGTTTGTTTGTCCTGGTGCATTTCAAAAGAAGATTTCTATCTCAAAACTCGTTTTAAACAGTTTGATGTAGAAAAGCTCTTAACATTTACAGATAATAGATAAGATTTTAAAAAAAGTGTGTCATTTTGCAGTAATAAATAAAGGAGAATTTCATTTTGATTTTGAATAGATTGTTTTATTCTAAATATATTAGAAACAACTTATTTCAGAAGGGAAGTGGAAAAAATTGTCCGACTTCTATCTTTATAGTACATTATGATGTATACGATAATTGATATTTTAACATTTTATTTAAACATTTTAATAAAAGGTAGTTAAAATCAAGAAATTTACGAATAAAAAAAATGTGCATTAACAGTTTTAGCAATTATATATTTGACACAAGGTCATTTTTTTTATTCGAAGACGTCTACCCTGTTATGATGACTCATCTAAGTGATATTTCTCTTGACCTTTATTGTGTCATGTATTTCATTTCCAGATAGCAATGTGGTCCGTTGTGATTCTTACAACATCTGCTGTTCTGACAGTAACTGCACAGGGTAAGTTTGGCCTTTTCATACTTTTCGTTTAATGTATGGTATTGTATATATATAAAAAAGAAGATGTGGTATGATTACCAATGAGACAACTTTCCACAAGAAACATAGAAGTTAATAACTAAAGGTCACCTTATGGCCTTCTACAATGAACAAAACCCATACCACATGGTCAGCTATAAAAGGCCCCGAATTGACAAATGTTAAACAATTCAAACGAGAAAACTAACAGTCTGATTTATGTAGAAAATAATGAACAAAAAACAAATATGATATACAGCAACAAACGACAACCACTGAATGACAAGCTCTTGACTTGGGACAGGCACATAGAGAATGTGGCGGGGTTAAACTTGTTTGAAGACGCCAACCCTTCCCTTAACCTGGGACAGGGGAGTAACAGGACAACATAAGAACAAATTATTAAAATCAGTTGAAAAGGGCTTAACTCATCAGATCGATACAAAGCAGAATGACATCTAACAAAAACACAGACCGAACGTGGCAAGGTATTTATACATTCCCACAACAACAAAGAACACTAAGTACAGATCTGAGAGTACCCCCGGTCACTGACAGCTAGTTCAAAGCCAATAACAACTAATATAAAAATCATGCATCTAAGACTAAAAAACGTTGGAAAATTGTTGTATCATGCATGCCATATATGGCCAAATCCCAGGTACTTTATTCATATGATTAGCACCACGTGACTTTGGCCCTTTTAATTTAAACTACCTCCCTTAAGTATAGATTGAAAATATAAACTATATAACACTTGTGGATAATCCAGTCTTTAAACGTCTTGGGTCTAAAACTAACGTGTCTTTAAAAACTTCCTTGGGCGGATATTTACGAATATGTTGTGTAAGTTCTAAGGGAAAATGTTTAAAATTTGACTATTTACGAAATGGGAAGAATGAAATCATCATGTTATTAAAAGAATTTAGCCGAAAGCATAAGAAAGCAGGTGAGATAACAGTTATTTTACCTGATAATTTAACCTGCAAGGTGTTTCCCTATATGCGAACAAATCATGAACACTGTCTTCTTGATTTCTACTTTGAATCTTGTTTTTTTTTACAATTTTTCGTTATTTTATATAGCAAATATACTACGAATACGTTTCCGATTTTTAAACTGAAAAGGCCGAAAGTTTTCAAAGTAGACAATGTTCATTTATCATGTTATACACGATCCAAAGGCAAAAATACATGTACAATTCACCTATATGCGAACAAATTGTTGACGTGACTTAAGAATTGGCATAATTGTAAATTGTATTATAGGGGCAGGTATAATCCTATTGTAATGGCTATCCTCGTGATAGGGCAATATTGCCGCTATGGAAATTAGCAAAGTACCCCCAATTTTGCCATATGGGGTGTATAATTCAATTCATTTAATATTCGATATAAGAATCGCACCGCGATATTAAATTTACAATGTATGAAAAGTGCAATTCGACAATTGATTGATTAAAGCAAGTAAATCGATAAACTTAAGAAATAATTCATGGAAGCCATAGGTTAGTTGGAAATTTATACATGGCCCAGGTCAAGGCCATGTGTAAATTTCCAACAAATCTATGGCTTTTATGAATTATTTCGATTCTAATAGGACAAATACGGTAATCTAACAAACTGAAGCGAGGGTGGGTATGCCGTGTGTGTGGCTGTTCTATTTTACCCTCTGTTAGATAAAGCTATAAATGTCCAATAAATCTATAGCTTGCATGAATTATTTCTTAAAAAAATATGTTTTTATTTCTTTTAAATCTCAACCCCAACGTTTGCAATTTTTAATTTACATTTTTTTCTCGTAAGCTACCGTAAAATCCACAGTTGACATTTCATCACTAAGGAGCCGCCATGTTGACTTACTGAAATCAGTAAATGTACGACTGATGCAATAGAATAGAAAATAAAACAACACATACCTCAAAACTCCATTTTAATGCAATATTATCCGAATTTGGGGGATTCACGTAACGGAAAAACCTTCAGCTTTAGTGTTTTCATTCGTATGACGTCATTTGTTTAAATGACTTTCATCCTCCAAAAGCATTAATGGAATTTCGCGGAATTTAATTTCATTTTCATTTTGTACATTTTTCCGAGCTCTTATGTATTAATTCCTTTTGTTATACATCAGAATAACGGTTCTGTAGTTTTTTTTTCAATTACAGTTTTTAACACAGCAAAATCGGCATAGCGTTTGCATATAGGTTACGATACATGTGGATTTATGTAGGAGGTATATTGTAACAGCCATTATTATGTACATCTCTGAGTCTGCGCTAAGTATAGATATATCGAGAATTTTATCACGGTTTTGTTTACAAAACTAAAGAAGCACGTCATATCAGAATAATTAATCGTTGGCTGTAACAAACTGATAAAAAAAATAACACATATTATGTTATATACATATATCCTGCAATGAACATCGACACAGCGCGTTATTGATTTTCAAAGATAACCAGGCGAACATCGTTGTCAATCATTTTTCGTTTTTCATATTGATTCGTTGAATGAGGTATTTAGGATTCGAAACTATACCGTTCTGGCTTTTATATTGCTTTATATTTCAGACTGTAGACCCTGGAGGCTTTATACCTTGTATACAAATACCTTATGTTCCTAATTTAAGGTCTGTCATATGTTCATTGTCCTTGGTCCAGTTTGAAATGTTCAGCGAGTGCTAAAAAAATATTTTTGTTTTCTTGACTAATTGTCTTATTATGAGTAAAATACTAATTAAATTTGATACGTAAGGTCCTTGCAATGTCTACATGTCTGTCAGATATGGTTTACCTGACTTTGACCTCATTTTATATATCAATGGTCAAGGTTTAAGTTCCATATATGGGATACTATAACCAATTGGTCATTGAAATGGGTAACTATCCGTTTGGCAATGTTCATCTTACCTTGACCTTGTTTACATGGATCATTGATAATGTGATGTTTATATGATATTTGAAGTGAAAACCTTTATCCGAAAGATTTTCAATATAAATTGACTTATGATCAGTAAGGCACGAAAAATATTTATGCGTCCCGTTACCAAATGGCTACTTCAATCATATTTAATCTTTGAAATTTTACAGTCGTAAGCTTGAAGAATTAGGAGTGAGTTCTTAATATCAGCGTCGGCAGTTACAGTAGTTTAGTTAATTATTTTTCTACTGAATTTTTGTAGGTGTGATATATAATTCAGTATTATCAAAGTATGGAGGGTTTAAACTTGTTGCAGCTGGCTGCGAACTTTTTTATTTGACGAACACATAACCATAAAAACATATATTTCTATATCATAAATTGAGTCTGTAAACAGTTCAAAACCAATAATACATTTAACATTTAGGTTGATTAACATTAATTTATCTTAATATTTGTTTTAAAGAAAACCTCATGTTGAATGGAACTGCTAGACAAAGTAGTACACAACGATCGGACTGGGGAGCGGGTCGGGCAATCGATCCACCGGTATCGAATGACTTTTTATCTGGTTGTACTCATACCAAAGCGAGAAGAAATATTAAAACAGCATGGTGGATGTTTACATTTTCATTTGGTCTTGCATATGTCACAGATATTACAATATACTACAGACAAGACAGTATGTATAAACGACTAATTTTAAATTCAACAGAAGCGACGTAATATAGCAACTGTTAATGAATGTACAGTTTTGTTATTCCTTAATACACTACAAACCAGTAAAAGTCTGAAATGGCCTATATCTGTACTCGACTGTACTGATTTTTACTCGACCAGTCTGAATTGGCCTGAATTTTACTCGACATAACTCGACCCCAGTCTTAACCATACTCGACTGTACTGATTTGTACTTGACCCTTATCTTTGCCATTGAAAATAGTCTGAACTATTACTCGACCAGTCTGAAACAGTCTTAACCCATTCTCGACCTGTACTCGACCTATTTTTTTCAGTCTAAACCATACTCGACCAAAGGTCTGAACAATACTCGACCAGTCTGAACCATACTTGACCAAATAACCTCTACTTTTTCTAAATTTTAACTGTTGAAATAAATTTCTTTTTAACTGACATGACAACAGCCACAATAAAATAAAGATATATTATAAAAACAGATTTTTACATTCTTACATGATTCTCAGATTTATCGAATAGAGATAGTTAAATCAAATTATCTTATATAATAATTTAATTATATTAATTTTAAAGTTTTAGAGTTTTGTTAAAAAAAGATTTTCTTTTACCTAAAAACCACACCTATACTGAGGGTAATTAAACCTTATTAAGGTGCTCCTTGTTTGGCATGTGTGTTTTTTTTAATTAATTTTCCTAAATTCCTAAATAAAAACTACATAGGTTTCAAGGTTACAGACAAAAAATGTACAATAGTTATATAATTATCTTTTTAATGAGGTAACAACAGCCAACAAAATCACTGAAATTGTTTAACCTTACTTTTAGAAATATATCCATTATTATAATTTGGGATATATGATATACAATATATATCAAAAAGTGATAAAAATTAAAGAAATTGTTCTTCTGATTAGTGGTGAAGTATAAAGTAATACTTCCTGCTTGGGGCAAACTCATGAAAAAGATCACACCTGGTCAGAGAGTATTAAATTCTAAATGAAATGCATTCAAAATTGCAACATCCTGTGAAACTTAAATCGCAAGGCCTTTTGAATTCACTAGATAAGTAATACACGAGTTTAAGAAAAATAGTGTTTTCTTTTTACCTGTAAAACACACATGTACTGAGGTAATTAAACCTTATCAAAGTGCTTCTTGTATGTCATGTCTTTAATTTTGACAAAAAATATTTAAATTTAATTGAAATAAATTTTTACTGTAACTTTGGAACACATTTCCTTTTTTAAAAGTTTAACACAGGATTACTATGGAAGTTCAATTATCATGATTATATTTAATTCTTGGTTTAACAAAACAAAGGTGTAATTTTTTTAATTTATTAAGTTGCTTTATATGCTATTTTATATATATTTTAATAAAAAAAATGTTCACTGCATTATTAACTAAACTCAACTGACACCATAAATCTATACGAGGCTTAAGTTAATGGTGAAAATTGTCCAGTAACCATAAAATATATCTGAAACATTCAAAAAATTGTGAATAACATTGAAAATATTAGTCACAATTCAGTTTTGAGATTATTTGATCAGCTTGTTTTATTTTTATTTTAAAGGTGATATATATGTATGTATATAAGTGTTGATGAATATGGTGATGAAGTTATATTATGTTTATTGTGAAATTTTGCTTTCAATGCTATATTAAATACATTTTTAATTTCAAATTGTTGTTCAAATTTCTAGCCAGGTGAAATAGCTAAATTGATGAAATACAATAGATACAAAAAAATAGGTCTAGGTTGGTTAAGACTTGGTCGAGTATGGTTCAGACTAGGTCGAGTATGGTTCAGACTAGGTCGAGCATGGTTCAGACTAGGTCGAGCATGGTTCAGACGCGTATAAAATGGTACTGGTTGAGTAAGGGTCGAGTACAAGTTCAGACTGTTAAGTATGGTTCAGACTACAGTCGAGTATTATCAAGTAAATTTCAGACAAATTCAGACTGGTCGAGTAAAAATCAGTACAGTCGAGTACAGTTATAGGCCATTTCAGACTTTTACTGGTTTGAAGTGATATTGCCGGCATTTTTTTAATTTTTGGTTATTTTAGTGTTATTTAATGAAAATATAGCTTAACAAAACGTTGACCATCATTTCATAATTGGAGAACACTGAAATTTACTGAAGTTAAATTTTGGGCCTGAAATAGTCAAATTCATAATGAACGGGAGGTATTCCTGATATCCATTCTGTACGAAAAGCATTAAGCTGTCAAACGGGAACGCTCAACATACATAAATTAAGAAAATTCCCATGTTTCCATGTATTCACAAAATGTTCCCTCAACATTAAAGTTATGTTTGGGCAAGTCACCGTGTATGAAAGAAATCGAGAGTTTTTTTTTTTTTTTTTTTTTTCCAAGTATCTGGTAAACATCTTTATCAAGGAGGCTAGTGAGAAGATAATTACATATTACGATTGCACTAAGTAAGCACCTTCATTCAAATTATTTTATTGATACTTTTATAAAACACTGTGAAAACTTTTTTTTTTTTAGAAAAAACCAAAAACTAGAAAAAAAAATATAACCCAAAGAACAATCATGATAATAGCGAACACAGCTAGTTGTGCAAAACTTGTCACAAAGTAGATCCTCAATTGGTGTTCTTTAAAAATTAGACACCTTATCGTTATTTGTTCGCCATTTCTGACCATCACAGATGCTCCCGTGAAATGTATAAGTTGGATAATGTCGCGAAATACCAGGTTAATTGTCATAAATTCCGAAATAGCGTTAAGGTTTATTGAAGCTTTTAACACCTGTCCTTTCTTTTCAATATCATTTTGTTATATTTGTTTTTAAATAACTTGCATCGACAGCTCTTTTTTTTTTTTTTGGCTCTAAATACTTTGATATCTAAGTGTAAGAAAAATCATTTAAAGGAAAACATTTAGAAATCAAATTAACGTCATGGAAATTTATATGACGAACTCGTAGCGTTAAAGCGTTTTTTTTTAATTAATCGGTTATGCTCCTTTTGCGCTAGGCGGTACTCTTGTGCCAATCACTTCCGGGAAGTATTGATTATGTTATCGAATGCAAATTATCTTGACGACTTTAAAATAAATCGATTAAATGTGGTCGGTTTAAAGAATTACCGCAGTAACCACAATCCGTTTGTTATACGGGGAAAAGCGAAACTAATCGACAGAGCAAATGGTGTTTATTTAAAACAATGTGAAAATTAAGCTTGAAAGACTCAAATTATTTAGAGCGAGATGACATGGAAAATTACGCAGAGATGCAGAGAAGACAAATTATTGATGCCGTTCGGACAAATCAAAGGCTAAAAAAACAACCGAGTTCCCATAACGGAGCACCTTCTTGAGTAAGACCAATTTCAGCTTGATATATCACGACTCTCTACAATACTCCAGAGCCTGCCTTCTGTGTTGACAGGCTAGAGGTGCAGTAGATAAACCACTCGGCCACCGATAATCCTCCTTGATAGAAGGTTGTTGGGTATATGTTTGCTATTAAACAAGGGGTTCTTAACTGTAATGCTAAATTCATCCTTCCGAACGTCTTACCATCATGGTTTGGTTGACCATCATGGCATATATATGTGTCATAGATGACAACGAACATGAATCAAATATTGTAGCACAATCCCATCCACTTTTTCTCTATTGTGACATTACCGAATGCGACTTAGTAACGCGTTTTCTCTTGCCTTGATCAACACGAAAGGTGTCTGTTTATCCCGAGTGTTCGATTGAATTCGTGTATCTCTGTCTATAGTGTTTTGTAGAATGTAGTTTGTCTTTTTGTCGATTTTTTCTCTTTTGCTATACAAGGATTGCTTATTTTACATCGACATATGGTTTTTAATTGTCTTCTTGGTACCTTCTATGCTATTTTGTATATGAAAGCAGGGACGGACAACTATGAATTCAAAAGTAACTTCCTATTGTCACGACATTGTTTTGTTTTGTTTTTTTTGCGATTAAATTAGCAGGATAAAGTTCAAAGCAAATAGAGACTGGTTACATTTGTAGATTAATATCATCAATACACTCAAATAAATGAAAATTATAGATGTCATAGCGAGTGAGAATTAGATATTGATTGATATCAACTCGAGATGATTCAATTCAAAACGTAATAAACGAACCTGTGGTAAGTTTAATAATAAAGCAGAATCAAATTACGAGAATATATTTTTCGTTCCGCATGCTTCACTTCAAATGTAAGTACGCTTACGGCTTTGAGCACATTGTGTCATGAATCAAGATTATTCTAAAAACATCAGACGTTTTTAAGCTTTTGAAGGCTCCAAAATTCAGAATAGATTCAAATTTGACAAAATTATTTTTGTTTATGTAAAACATACGAGTGTATATTATTGAAGGGTCACAAATATCCTTTCTAAGCATGCTAAGGGGGAAATGCTGTCCATATGACATTTGAAAGTCATCATTGACCTAACGAGTAGCAAATAGAAATGTCGTAGTTTCGTAACCCATTTCAGGAATGGTCAACCAATGATGCATGTAAATTGTGAAATATTTATAAGCTCGTCAAGCCCATCTTTTTAAATGTTAAAGTTGTCTGTCTGGAAAGCTCGAGGAGAAAAGTCTAATTATTTAAAGGTATGATACTATGTATATATGTATGAAGTCACGTGAGGATTTCTTGTTTTAACTAAAATAGAGTTTGTTTTAACTCAGGAACACTTAACAAAAAGTATACATCTCTTTTCGGGGTTTTTTCGGACATGAAGACCTAGAAAAATAAAAATGAATCCCCATTCTTTAGTTTTATTTTGGCACGTTTTGTAAAAACTCAATTTTTTATCATTTCAGTGCTTTCCCGAGAGTGTATATCAAACTTGATTTGGAGTAAGACATTATGGAAACATTAACGTTAGATCTCTCTGTATCGTGTGCCCTTACGTATTTGAACCTTATATAAGAAGGAAAATGCATACCAATATCTATTATGAAATATACAAAATAAGATATTGGTATCCTAAAACAAATTCCCTTTGAAGTGATGGAAACCGGCGAAATGTGAAAAGTTTCTTAATTCTTCCAATCTAATGATAATTGTCATAATTCCCTTACGATTTTTTAATATTTACCTTGATTCTGAATAAAATAAATTTTTGCAGTTTTCTATGCTTTCAAAATCTTTCTGACTGTGTGAATCTTTCTTGGTTTTCTTACTACAACCGGAAAATACTTATCGATATATTTTATTTGGTCAATGATTGAATTCAGTAGTGTCAATCCCTGAATAAAGACATAGTAACATGTGAAATATACTATTGGTATCGGTATCGAATTCGACCCGGAACTTGTTAATTATTGGTTATATTAATTATGTGGAAAACAAAAGGGCCTGGAATGGTGTAAATTTTAATCAACACCATTGTCCTATGTTAGTTACATATAAAGTTGAATTCTTCAATTCGTCGTAAATTAGACCTCGTTATTTTAGTAGTACAGATGTATCACTTTAATTGTATAACTATGGGAAATGTATGCATAAGTATAGCCGGTACACGCACAAGTACATATATGTTGGTTCAACCGAACAGCTATTAAATACAACAAAAATATTATATTTGTTTGACTATGGCCACAACATGCTTTTAATAAAGTAAATATAAGCTTTTAATAGCTGATGGAAAACAAATCTGATTATCCTTTACAATCAAAAGTTTGTGTTTGATAGCAATTTTAAAGCGAAGAAGTCAGCCGAACATACTAAATATGAAGAAACATATGTATTGCATGGCTTTCCTGTAAGTTAACATTTTGTTGTAAATATAAGGAACCTAAGTGTTCTTCATTTTGCAGTTATATTTCATATAACTGAATTTTTCAAGCTTTTTTAATAAAGTATTTTGTACGAATATTCTCTTAGTTATAAGGATAATTACTGCATTAAATAATTTAATTCAATTCAGCATAACAATTCCTTGACCTTAAAATATTGACCAATCTTGTCAATAGCCATCTACTTCGATAGTCTACTAACTGTAAACCTTTAGTTACTATTATGATAAATTAGTAATAAACACACTACATATTTGAAAGATAACTAGACTTATTTAGATATCATTATCAAAATCAATCAGTTCTTTGGTGTATTTATTTCATTATTCGATTAGACGAAGCAACCGAATCACGATCAAGCAGTTATTAGCTGGTTTTTGTTTGTTTGTATTTATGAGTTGTTCTAGTATATATATATATATATATATATAAATAGGTTTGACAAAAGGATTTTTTTATTATTCGGTATCATTCTTTAAGGTCTACTTTAGGTTACGTAAAATGCTATTGTTTGTTATTGATTCGCTATAACAGATGATAAGTTTAACCCTATTATTTTCTTTATATTGATGAAATCTATTGTCTGGTAATCTTGCTTATATGGCTCCACTGTGCAATTCGTTAATGTTTTAATAGTTGCTGCAGGCTTTTCTCACTTTTGGTCGACATGTCAATGGATTGCAAAATATTTTAAATACATATATGTAAACCTATTTCAAATATCTACAAGAGTGGCACAATATTTTGTCTGTTCTTTGAATACTGTCTGCTTATGTTCTTGTTTTCTGGACGTTGATAGGAGCATTGAAACCGACAGTTATCCTCCAGTCACTCGTATTCATTGTTGTGTGCAAAGATAGTCCGAGATTGCTTTCACGTCCGATGGCCTTTTTATGACTTGCTATGGAATGTGTGAACACAGTCCATATAAAAATAAAATGGAAATTGACTACCAAATATATCAAAGGGACATCGCTCTGCAGTCCTACGGTCCCAGTTTGTCCTATAAAAAGCCGTCACACGACATACCAATCAAGGACTAGTGCAAAGGCAAAGCTACCATCTAACAGCTCATATCTATCAACATTGAGTAAGGACAGTTTCTGACGTTTTGTGTGTCTACATCACTATTAACAATTTAAACAGCTTAAACATGTTCGTGTCCATACTTTTAATTCATTTTTCAAATTAATGTATTTCAGCTGCGATTCGAATGGATGGATTCGCATTGTATGTGACGAATGTATCAGCTACAGTTGCTCCTCCTGATGGCTACCTGTGTTTTGCTGATACTAAACCTGGGTTTCCCAATGTTACTATGACTATTCCTTGTTATCAGATGGGGAAATATGTCATATATTATGATACAACCGGCAATTCTCAGCCATTAAACAAACGTGGTGATACAATAACATATGGACCGATCATAGAACTGTGTTATGTTGAAATAAATGGTGAGTTAATATTGTAGCACAATAAAACAGAAGATCAATTTCACACTTTTTGTTCACAACAGAATAAATGAGCGCTATACCTGTCGCCATATTGTGTATTTCAAGACAATTATAATTCGTGCAGTTTCCTGAATTTTATTATGGCACATATCAAATCCCGTCAGAGACAATGTAACAGTAACAACATACTGCTGTATCAATAAAACACATCTATATAGCCTACCATTCATTTGGCACATATTTAGCTCAGTTCCGAGCTTACCTATGTTTTGAACTGCTGTCTTCATGCTAAAATGTCAAAACATTTATATTGAAAGATTGATAAACTGTTTTAAGAAAGTGAATCGTTGAAACATACTGAAGGGTATACGACATGTGTGAGCTTTTCTCCATCACTTGGCGTCCGTCGTCTGTCGTCGTTGTCGTCCGTTAACTTTTACCAAAATCTTCTCCTCTGAAACTACTGGGCCAATTTGAACCAAACTTGACCACAATCATCAATGGGTATATAGTTTAAAAATGTGTCCGATGATCTCGCCTGTCAAACAACATTGCTGACATGACTATAGATAGAACATAGGAGTAAAATGTATTTTTTTTCTATTATATTGAATACCGCGACTATAGATAGAGAACATCTGACCGGGTCAAATATGTTCAGAATGATGAGATCTGCATAATGTCTATCGACACCAACACTTGCAGACGACTTCTTATAGCAGTTATTGCCTTTACATAACGATGTTTTCCAATTTTTTTGTCATTCTTGTATATTATCTTGAAAATTATATTTAAAGAACATTTCAAAAGCTAAAACTATCAGAAAGACAAGATCTTCAAATAAATCATCATAATCGAAATCGTCAGTTGACACCTTATTGAAGTTATTGTCCTTAAATGTCGATTTTCCCCATTATTTCATTTTTCCTATTTTCTTGAAAGCTATACTAGAAAGATAGGAACTTTGAATAGCAAAAATGATCAGCAAGACAAGATGTACAAAAAAGTCAGCATAACCGAAATGGTTAGTAGACTCCTTATTGAAGTTATTGCCCTTTAATGACGATTTTCCCATGTTTAACTATAATTGAAAGATAGAATCTTTAAATAGCAAAAATGATCAGCAAGACAAGATCTACTAATAAGTCAAAACGACCGAAATCGTTAGTCTACTCCTTATTGTAGTTGTTGTCCTTAACTGACGATTTTTTCTAATCTTTTTTTTTTTTTGCATTTATCTAACAACATTAGAGAGATAGAAACTTTTAATAGAAACATTATTAGCAAGACAAGATCTGCAAATAATTCAGTATGACCAAATCGTTTGTCAACTCCTTATTGAAAAAAAATTGACCTTTAATGACGATTTTCCCCAATTTTTGCATTTTTACCTATTATCTTGAAAACGTTAATAGAAAGATATCAACTTACAAATGTAAAAAAGCAAAAAAAAAAAAGATAAGCAAATCAAAATCCACAGATATTAAGCTATAAAGGCCGAAATCTTCAGTCAACTCGTTATTTGAGTTATTGCCCTTGAATGATAATTTTTATCATATTTTTTGCATTTTATTCTATTATCTGATTATCTGTTAAACTGTAATAAATACATAGGAACTTAAAAAGGGAAACTGATATTAGCAGGATAAGATCTACAAATACGTCAACATGACTAAAATTGTCAGTTAACTCATAATAGTCTTTCTAGTAATGTTTTTTTTTTGAAAAGTGGCCAATGTTGAGGATGCAGGTGAGCAACACGGGCTCTTTATAGTCGGAAGTTTCAATGGCATTTGGCTTGGTTCTGTAGTATGAACATATGAACATGATGAAGTAAACATTTTGATTAACAAATTACCGATGCGTTTTTTTTTAAATTATATAAAATTAATATACATCAGAAAATGTCGTTTTATTTTTCTGAACATCTTATAAAACTGAATTATTTCCACATTTAAAGCATACTTATTTAGAGAAGATATTCCAAATTCTTTTATAAAAAACTGCTTGGCTTATCTTTTGAAACAAAAACTAGGTATGTTCGTCTAAAGGTTAGAAATATCCAAGAAACAGAGTATTTTCAGTAAATGTCTAAAATTTCTACCCAATTTATTTCTAAACGTAGCACATTGAAAATGTTTTTTCATTACAAATTTGAATTGACTAGGTAAAATAACTTGCATTCAAATTTTCGTCAAAAAATCATTTTTGGGTCAAAACTTTATCGTATGCCCTTAAACATGTTAAATGTAAAAAGCAGCGATTTCGTAAGCTCCAGACGGACATAGAACATACCGTGAATATTGGCTCTGGAAAAAAATAAGTATAACATGGTGAAAAATCATTTTTACTAAATACTTTAAAGACAAAACATAATTAACAAATACAGCAGTCTGAGCAATAAATGTAATGCTACGAACTTTTTATTTAACCTACTATAAAAAATTATCATTTAATATTTAATCGGATTTTCAGACGGGAAATCTTGTTATTGATTTGGGATAGTACGGAAGAGGGTTCGGGCTGTTTTTGTGCAGCAACTTAAGAACCGTTCAACTTATTCTTCTTTTAAATTTTAATATGTTGCAATTGATGACAATATGGCGGTAAATTTCTATTTTTGATTATGCCGTTCAGCAGAAATGGTCTTTGATTAATTGTAACATGATATGTTATGTTGTTTACATGTAATAACCTGACAACCGTTCACACGCTTTTGAAATTTTAATATGGTGTTACGGATAACAAAAACAAGATGTAGGTAACGATCGATATTGACTATTTTCGCTTATGTATTTCAAGAATGATGCTCCTTGATTGAATGGGAAACGACACATAACATGACGTTTTGTGCAATAATTCGAAAACTGTTCGACCAAAGTCCATGCAATGCTTTTCAAATTTTAATGTCACTAATGACAAAATGGAGCTCAATTTCGAATTTGTTCTTTTATTTCATATTAATCACATTTCATTAATAAGCATCTATAACACAAATATTTCGTTACACAGGTAAGCAACTAATGGGTCCCCGTTTCAGTACAGACCGTCTCATTTGCCGGTTGAAAGTGCAAACGAGAAAGAAAAAAAAATCTAAAACATATAATTATATACTATCTCTCTATCTTTATAACGCATGATATGAATAACCATTAAGACAGAGTATATATTTAATATGTATATAATATTTCTTTTCAAATAAACTATTTTGTATTCTGAATAAATTTTCATTTCAATAGCAATTAGTTTCGATCCTTCAATTCGTTATAATGTTAATTACTTTTACACATTTCGGTCGAACGATCTTTTGCCATGTCCTATTAGTTAAACATAATTTGAAAAATAAATTAGAATTTCTATTCAACTGTGTCTAAATGGGTTACTTTAGATGTTTGGGATGGAAGAGGATGCCGGAAATGACATATTGTTTGTTTGAAATTTAGAACGAACTTACTTAAAGTTTTAAAACATTTAGTAATTAAAAGTGCCATATACTTTTTTTATACTGCTATTTCATAAGGTATAACTGTTGAACTTGAATTGACAATTGCCTATATATTTTCTGCTAAACTATTCTCTTTCGTGAAGGATTTTATAATTTTTTTAATTTTCTGCAAGTCGTTATCAGGGGCTAGCTAAGAAACTTGCCGTTAAATACAAGAAATCACATTTGAACCATATAAAGACTGATTTAGTCATATCATTTAATAATAACCCGAAGCAGTAAAACCAAATGCATACAAGCCCGCTAAACAATATTTCGGGAAAAATTGAAATACGTTAATGTAATGCCGTTATTATACGGTAACAATATAATTAATATGACAAACAATATATCTTGTACAAAAAAGGAAACTTAACTTACAGGGTAAAGCCCCGAAATTAGTTATATTTTAATATAATTAAACTACTATATACTCCAAACATAACGGAATCCCTCACCTAAAAATAAAGGGTTGAAGCGTTCTTAATGAACAGAAACAACCTGACAAAACATTTTCACCAGGCCGTCGGGAAAAACTGGAAAATAGAATCATGTGCAAAACAGTGTAGGCGAGACCATTGATTGGCGCGCTAAAATATCCAATTGACTGGGTCAGATTAGGTGAACGTTCGTCTGTAACGCCCACAACTCACGACGTATTTATTATAAACATTTAAACTGTGGGGTTGCCAAAGGGTTTCAGTATATATACGAACTACAGTGCACAGTATATTATATACATATTTTATTTGCGATCATAAAATGTACGAAGTCGTCCATTACTATGTAAATTGGGTCGATTAAAAAAAAAGCTGAAAATGTTTCTGTTGCCAAGGGTTTTTCACAAGTATAGTAGTTAGCAGAAAAGTTCACCAAACTATACATTTTACCTATTCAAAAACGTAAATGCAAATTCCACAAGGCTTGATCCAAATAGCCTTTTTATTGTCTAATAACTTGCAAGTACGAAAAAGACAGGACAGAAGTATATTTTGTCTATATGTTTTGTGTACGCACACTTTTTAAAGTTGATCATGCATTCGTTCTAAAATAAAATTTTGACCAGATAAAAGTTAAAAGATGACATAATTGGACATGCAACCGCAATTGTTAAATCGCTTTGACGTCCGAAAAAAAAAGATAATAATCAACACATGCATTGTAACTTTTAAAGCCAGTTAAATCCTTTTTTTTTTTTTTTTGTTGAAAGAACGTGCGATGTCATAAAAATTGATTATCAAAACATAACGAAAACACAAGTAAAGAACGTTTACACTGAAATGCAGTCAAGTTTAGCGATTGATAATTCATTCACAACATTCTAGCGTATCACAAACAAACAACTTGTAACGTCTCACTTCATTGGCCGAAAGATTTAAATACAACAACAATTGTTGTGTGCACGTGAATTGACACAGGTGACCGACAATGGAATGTACTACGTTACTACGAACGTAAAAAACAATGATTTTTGGTCGAAATAATTAAATAAGTATTTTGTGAATTTCAAATAGTGGGGTCGAAATATTATAC